TTGAAATAACTTTCGACGAATTTTTCTCACTTTTCAGCAAAAGAGATGCATCACTAAATTAAATTACAATAAAACTGCATTATTTTGAAGCGAATTTTAAAGTAATTTGAAAAATCTGAAATTACTAGAAGAAAAATATATAATAATTTCTCAATTGCTGACATCAAAAAATAATGTTTTTTTTAAATGTAAAAAAAGCATCCGGTTGCCTTTATATTGAACGCCAGAAAATGGCGTAATTTTATTACGATTTAACCGAATGCTATCCCTCAGGGAAATTCCCTACGTATGGCGTCAGTTTACTTTGTACTATTAATTCCAAATTATAAATAAATATTTACTTTTCTTTTATTAATCCTATGTAGGCTCCCGTTTTTACCCGTGTTTACTTTTCATCATTATTTTGGAATAGTTTAACCCATCCGAAATTTAACACTGTTTGCAAATTCAAACCCTTTTATTGGCTGTGGTTGTTAAAAAACATAAATTCCACAATCGACAAATTCCACCAATACAAAACATATTTTGATTTGTTCCAGGCCGATTACATTCACTGCACACCCCACGTACTGCTGTTTTTAACCAGACATCCTAAACGAGTTATTTCCAACATCGACCATCCCATTTCGCATCACGGCTTCAATTTTTAATCGAAGCCCGCGTCGCCTGTCAAAGTTTAAAATCTCATTAACAATCCCATAAATGACGATTGTACTCGTTAATGACTATCTCTTGTTTCCAAGCGGCTCTTTTGTTGCCTAATTACAGCATCTCCATGACAACAACGCACCGATTTCCACCCGTATCCCGCTTAGTCAGTCAATCCGGCATGAGGGCGTGCATTCTGGGTAGGCAGCAGGTTTTTTTGGGTTTCGGAGAGGGGTCGTCCGGAAAAATGAGTTTTCGGGACTGCGAGCCATCTTGAAAATTCGGACGCAATAATTTTTGTGAATCATCTCCGTAACCTCGAGTCTGAGAAAAAAGTGTAAGGAGCTTTTTTGTAGATAATATAATTACCTATAACTTTTATTAATGACTTTTTGGTGTAACATTAATAATAAAAAAATTAGGGACCAATGAAATTCTGAATTTGTCAGAATGACGACACCCCTCCATCTTACCACTCACGGCTAACCCCCCTACCAAACCCAAAAAAATCGCTACCTACCCATAATGCACGACTGCCTCTTTCTCAACGCCCGATTGACCGGACTAGCCTTCCTGCTGCACATAAGCAGCAATCGCTGCAGGAGATCGCTATACAGAGCCCTCCACGTCATCGGATGCGAGGCCAAATGGCCAAGAATGCCATTTTTTCCCTTCGACTCGCAGATGAAAGATAAGGCGGTTGGTAGTTTGTAGTTATAAATAGCGCAATTTACCCCCGCAGGTGCAACAGCGGCATAGAGTCTGCATAAATCTCGATCGTGAGCGTTCGATGTGTAATGGGTGAGTTTGGTAAAGCGCGGTGATAGATCTTGGCGAGGATTAGCACGGACGTCTTGCGTACGAAGGGGAGGACCTCCGACTGCTGCACTAACGCGATCTGACACAGTTCAACAAGTTAAATGGTGAGATCGCGGGAAGATCTCACGACCTGAGTGGTTTGAATTAAACGCTCGGATGAAGCGTGTGGTGGATGTGAGAGGTTGGTGGATGTGAGAGGTTGGTGAAGCGAGATTTGTGTCAAGCTGGGTTTAGCGAGGCATTTTTATAGGGTCCGGTTTAGGAAGTACTGATATCGTGTTTTCGCGACGTGTCGTAGCGCTTAGAACATGGAAAAGTAGGTCCCCGTCTCGGTCTGCCTGTCGTTTAGGCGGATTTTAAGAATATTGTGTAGATGGTGAAACCCAAAATTTGTATCATCACCTCCAGCAAAAATGTAATGCTGTCATCTTAAAATTTTGCGTAGAAAGTAAAGATTCTGAAATTTTCTTCAATTGTCAATTATTATTAGCAAATTTTAGCGTCGAGTGCGGGTAGCATTAAACTAATAAGCAAATAAAACAAAGTAGTCCAAGGCTATTTCGACAAGACTTCACAAAAATTCTACATCATATCTATACAAAGTAACCTCATTTGACATACCCCTGTTAAAACTTTTATGACTTAAGCGGCTTAAGCCAAACCACCCTTATAAGTCAAACTGGATATTGTATTACTTAACTCAGTTCACAGCTACATTATGCCAACAATGGACAGTAATAATCTTGCGGTTCGGGTCTACAAAGCTTACAATAGCCAGTTTGACTTATAAGGGTTCTTTGGCTTAAGCCGCTTAAGTCATAAAAGTTTTAACAGGTGTAAGTCAAATGAGGGTTGTGTATAGTGTCATTAAAAAGAAAAAGAAGGTTTAGCTTCTTATACTTTTATCTATATTACATATTTTAATATAAAATGTTCGCAAAATACATTTTTTTCAGTTTTTCACAGAAGCGAGATTTGTTGAATTGTACTTAAGAGGCGAAGGAAGTCCTGTCGAAATAACCAGTTTTTTGAATTTTTTAATTTTTCCAAACAGTTCCGAATATTTTAATATTGTAAGATTTTGATGCTGTCAGGATTTTGAATACTATTAGTATAATATTAAATTTATAAAATTTTGACAATTACTTATTTATGTTTATGGAAGAAAAAAAAAACGATGTCAGCATATTTCAGAATTCTCGAAATCCTTTACCAGTTTTTGAATCTCAAGTCTTTCGAGACAAGTCAAATAGTTTTTATTGCAAAATTAAACATTATTGTAAAATCTGCTAAGGCTATATGTACTTTTGTACTTTTCTGAGCTGGTAGGTTTTTAATAAATTTTAGAACACAACGTTCTGTCGAAATATCTGTATTATTGAATATGCTTAGTATTGGATATTTTAGAAAGTCCAAATATTGTTTTTTATTGTATTTCATCTAAATAAAACTTTATTCTTAAACTTTTATTACAGTTTCTGCGAGTTTCAGAGTCTTCAATAATTTTATAAAAATGTAATGCTAGTAATTTTTTAAAATGACGAAGCTTATGTATTTTAAAAAATTTTAAACACGGAAGATGCAGAGATGTTAAAAAACAAAGGCCTTTTTACACATCTTTTAAATACCTCTCTAAGATGTGGGTTGATTTCACTAAGAATAAAAACTGAGTAAATTTAACAAGTTAATTGAATTTTTTAATTTTTTCAAATAGTTGTGAATGTTTCAATATTGTAAATTTTTAATGCTGTAAGGAATTTGAATATTCTGAGTACAATATTAAATTTATAAAATTTTGAGAATGAATTATTTATTTTTATCGAAGTTTCAGATTTTTAAAAATAACGGTTTCAGCATATTTCAGAATTCACGAAATCGTTTTACCATTTTTAGATTTTTTAGGTCTTTAGAAAAGATTGAAATATTTTTAATAGCAACGTTAAACAATATTGTAAAATTTTCTATTTATATCCAATTTTGTCTTTTTATGACTTTGTAGGTTTTTAATAAATTTTATTTAGATCATGACGTTTTGTCGAAATATCTGTATTATTGCATATGCTTGAACTATTGGATATTTTAGAACGTACAAATATTGTTCTTCTTTTTTGTACCTTTAAATAAAAATGTATTCTTAAACTTTTAAAGTAATACATTTTTGAGGGGGGGGGGGGGGGGAGAATTTTCAATAATTTTACAAAGTTTTTTCGGGAAAATGGAGTGAGTCATTCTTGATTTAATCGATATAACGATGAAGATTAATTCTAAAAGGTGTGAGTGAGTTGATAAATCACAAATATAGTCATAATATTTTGCAAATTTCAGAGATGGTTTATTCTGTAAAATTTTTAGATGACGTCATTAATTTTTTGGGAAGGAATAAACGAATAAATTTTGATTAATAATTTACCACGATTACGATAACCTTAAAACATTTTCAAGATTTCAGAGCATTCGGTTTTGCAGTTTCAAAGTTAAATAGCAAAATGTTATACAATTTTGAATTTTTTTTCCAAAAATTTGGACGTCTAGGGTGAAAACTCAACACGGATTCATACACCACAAGTGCAGGAGTATCTTACTTTATAAAATAAAAAAAAAAATACTATTTTAAATTTTGGACTTGACGTCATTCCATTGGTAGTGTGATTAGCCAAATTTTGCTTAGTGTTTTACCATCTACAATCGGTGCAGTAGTTTCGGAGATTACGTGTCTATTAAAAATCGACACAGACGATAGACAGACAGACGGAAACGGAAGATCACTTTTTTTCGTACTCTAGGAGTCGTGAAACGTCGAGAAAACATGAAAGTGGCAAGTCGTCCGATGGACTCGATTAGTAAATATGTACGTATATTTCCTTAACTTACGCCCAGAAAGTAAACAAGTAAAAAAGACCAGCGTAGGTATCAACGGAACGAACAGTCCACATTATCGATTATCAACACTTTATCTACAAAAATATTTTCAAATAATCTACCATGCAACTTTACGAGCGATATTAACACACATAAAGCTGCTACCTTCACAAATAAAATGGTCTTAAACACATAATTAACCGCAAATTGCTACCCTTTCAACCACATGCTGTGGGCATAATATATAAAATAATCACTCTAATCTTTTGTTTGTTTTCTAAAACCTCACGCACCGTTACTTCACCTACATTTAAAACTACAATTACTTATTATAATAACAAAAATGAACATATGATAACCCAACAGCTGCTATCCTCGAACACATAATTTTCTCCCAGAGAACTCAAACACTTCCCGCAGATTTTTAAAATCCGATGACGTTTTCATTGTTCCAGCCTCTAATTACTAACACGCAATTTGCAGATCAATCAAGTGAACCTCAAATCTCTGCTTTTATCCACTCCATCTCGGCGTTCCCGATAAAACCTCACACTCCATTCAAACCCAACGTTATGGATTTAATACCTAATTATGCCGTCGTTAGTGGGTGTTGCTTAATCTAATAGCTTTCACATGCGAGCTTATATTTAGACGTAACTCCCAGACGTACTCACCAGCATCTGCAGGCGGTGTCGGCGTCTCTTCTCTCGGTGACCTCTGTCCATCGAACTCGCTACTTTGCTGCTTCTGAAGATCCAAATCGATCTCGAGGGCAGCTTTCTCCACCTCGTGCTTCTCAACGAAGGGGTTGAAGCTCCCGTCCGGGTTGTTGTTGACGATACCTTCGGCCAGAGCTTTGGCTGCGGCGATGGAAGGCGACAGCACGTCGTCCACTGCGTCAACGTCGGTCTCAGGGCCCAGGTCGTCGTCGTCGTCGAACTCCGACGCCAGTCTTTTGCCGTTGGATTTCTCGGAATTGTGGTAGAAGTCGCCGCTGGGTGACAGGTCGGCGCCGTTGTGCTTGAAGTTCTCTGAGAGGTTCAGGAGCAGCCCTTCTGACTTCTGGCCGATGATGTTGTTGTCGGAGCCGTTGGAGTTGGAGAAGGGATTGTTTGCATTGTCGAGGCTGGTATCCATTGTGATGGGAGAGGCGTTGCGGTTGGCCCAGTGGGCTTCCGCCGCGATCTTTGAGGGTTCGCGAAGAAATACTACTATCACAGAGATGTTATCTGCTGATCCTCGTGCTTTGGATTGGTGGACCAGGCGTTCGCTTATGAGATCGGTCTCGTCTGGAAGAAAAAGTAAAAAGTTAATGACAGTGTCAAAAAAAGGTTTCTAAGTTGACATGAGTAAGATAAATCTGGTCAAAAAATTTGTCCGTTTAGTGATGACTGATGATACTTTATTGACAGTTATTTGCCTGTAACTGTGAAACTGGAAAAAGAACGCGCTAGTGTAGCCAACATAATTTTTTAACAATAAATATCAAAGATTGCTATTATAGACGACTTTTGTATTCTATCATATGCTGATTCCAAAGTGACTAGGTTTTACCAAATTATCTCTAATAGAAAAATAATAAGTGGAGTGACCATCGAAGATGATATCAAAGTTTTATCTCTTCACAAGAACCACAACTCTATAATTTTTCTACAGGTGTACATTTCTGGATTAAAATATTGAACGAACTTTTTACCGAAAAGCTATGATCATAAATTAAATCAAAGTGATATTATTCTGTTACTAGAATTCAACAATGCATGGAGTCTCTTTACTACTGAAATTTTTGAAATTGTCTTTAAAATGAAAAAAAAAATGGTCGAAGGATATTTCGACAGAACTTCCCTCGCTTCTGAAGAATAGTCCAACAAATGCCGCAAAACCAAAAGAACGCGGTCCATACAAGTACGGTTAATACGAATTATCTTTAAAGTAGGTAACAGACGGGAAAAAATGCTATACGAAAAATTGACACATCGAGATATGAATTAAATGATCAATAATAAATAATAGTTTAAAAAACTAAAAAAACACGCTTTTATTGCTAATCGAACTAAAAACTAGAAAATAATTTTTAATGACAGAGTTTAATATTACAGTAGTAGAAGATCAAACAATCAATCATAATAAATCACCTCAAATTAAAATTATAATAAAATTTAAGTTATTAACAGAATAATTCAATTCAGAGTAAAAAGCGTGGGGTGCTTGATATTTTAAATATTACAATCATTCTATTGGCAACTATCTATGAGAGGATAGTTATGAACCGCAGTAAAATGCACCCCACGCTTTTTACTCTGAATTGAATTATTCTGTTAATAACTTAAATTTTATTATAATTTTAATTTGAGGTGATTTATTATGATTGATTGTTTGATCTTCTACTACTGTAATATTAAACTCTGTCATTAAAAATTATTTTCTAGTTTTTAGTTCGATTAGCAATAAAAGCGTGTTTTTTTAGTTTTTTAAACTATTATTTATTTTTCAATTTTTAGTCTGCGACAAATTCATAAATTGGGGAATTAATTACTTATTTAGATTTTTCTAGAAAGAACCACTCAGTGGTCTCCGTAGGATCGAAGATCCTGGCGGTCCTAATAAGGATAATGGGAAACTGTTATCAAATTATTGCATTGTCATCGATCCTTGAGACGTGTGCAAAGTTTCAAGATGATCAGACTTTTAGAAACCGATGAAAATTAAGCTCAAAGATTCCGTTACATACATACATAGATACAACCCAAGCTAATAAAAGCGTGATAAAAATCAAAAAATCAAAGATTTTAATTAAAAATGGAAACATTAGAAAACCGAAAAATCGAAATCTAGAACATTAAAAAATCGTAAAATTGAAAACCGTAAAGTTTAAGAAGGCGAAAAATTGAAAAACAGTAATATCGAAGAACTCAAAAATTGAAAAAGTGAGAAATGAGTAAGTAAAAAATCAAGAAATTGAAGAATTTGAAAAATTAAAAAACTGACAAATCGAGAAACTGAAGTCGAAAAATTGGAAACTCCAAAGATTTAAAAAAGTCGGAAAACCGAGATGTCAAGAAATCGAAACCAAAAAAATCGTAAAATAGATAAACGTAAATTTTAAAAATTCGAGAAATTGAAAAACAGAAATATCAAAGAAGAAAAAATATGGAAAAATCGAGAAATCAAAACATCAAAAAATGGAAAAATTGGAAAATTCTAAAATTTAAATATCGAAAAAATGTGTAATCGAAAAATCAAAAACCGAGAATTCGAAAATATGAAATTTAAAGATCGAAAAATTGAAAAAGCGAAATATTGAATCAAAAATTTGAAATATTTCAGAACTAAAATGACGCAAAATTGGAAAATTAAAAAATTGAAAAATCGAAATGAGCCATAATCGAAAAATCGCAAAATTTAAAATTGAAAAACTTGAAATAAAAAAAAATCTAAAAATCAAAAAATCGAGAAATCGAAACATCAAGAAACTGGAAAATCGAAAAGTTAAAAACTCGATAAACTGAAAAATAGAAACATCAAACAATTGAAAAATGACAACATCCAAAAATGAAGGAATCGAAATACTTGAAAAATCCTCTAGAACTGACATACTCAAAAATTGAGAAATACTTAGAAGCAAAATTGAAGAACTAAAAAGCCGAAAACAATTTAAAAATCGCAAAATTGAAAAATTGAAGTATCGAAATACCTACTGACAAATCCTAGAACTGACATACTCCAAAATTGAGCATTGGAAGAAAAATTGAAAAACTGAAAAATTCCAAAACTGAAATATCGAAAACTTGAAAATTAAAACAAACGAAAAACTGTAAAATTAAAAAAAACTGAAAAATCGAAAAATTGAGGAATTGAAAAACTGAAAAATCGAAACACTGAAAAGTCGAGAACTCGAGAAATGGGAAAATCAAACAATCGATTAATCGAGAGATTAAAGAAATTCAAAAATCGGAAAATTTAAAATGAAAAGTTTCAAATTAAAAAAAAACCGGAAAATTAAAAGACCGAGAAATCAAAACATCAAGAAACCCTTTAAAATCGAAAATTTAAAAATTCGATAAATTGAAAGACAGAAATATCAAAAAACTAAAAAATCGAAAAATCGCAAAATCGAAAACTGAAGAATCGAGATACTGACAAATCCTAGAACTGACATACCCAAAAATTAAGAAATGGAAGAAAAATTCAAAAACTGAAAAATCCCAAAACTGAAATATCGAAAAATCGAAAAGTCGATGTCGAAAAATTGAGAATTTAAAAATCGGAAAATTGTAAAATTAAAAATCTGAAAAATCGAAAAATTGAGGAATTGAAAAACTGAAAAATCGAAACACTGAAGAGTCGAGAAATCGAGAAATGAGAAAACCAAACAATCGATTAATAGAAAAATAAAGGAAATTCAAAAATTGAAAATTTAGAAATGTTAAAAAATGAAAAATCGAAAAATAGAGGAACTGAAAAACTGAAAAATCGAAACATTGAAAAGTCGAGAAATCGAGAAATGGGAAAATTGATTCGAAAAATTGAAAAAATCCAACACTGAAATATTGAAAAAATAAAAATCGAGAAAACGAAAATCGGAATACTGAAGAATCGAAAATTTGAAAAATTGCGAAATTAAAAAACTGAAAATTGGAAAATCGAAATAGGCCATAATCGAAAAATCGGAAAATTTAAAATTGAAAAAATTGAAATTAAAAAAAATCGAAAATTTAAAAATTGGATAAATTGAAAAATAGAAACATCAAAAAACTGAAAAATGACAACATTCAAAAATCAAAGAATCGAAATACTGAAAAATCCTCCAGAACTGACATTCTCAAAAATTGGGAAATGGAAGCAAAATTGAAAAACTGAAAAATCCCAAAACTGAAATATCGAAAAATTAAAAAATCAAAGTCGAAAATTGAAAATTTAAACAATCGAAAAATTCTAATATTAAAAATCTGAAAAATTTAAAATTGAAAAAATTAAAATAAAAAAATCGAAAAATCAAAACATCGAGAAATCTAAACATCAAGAAACTGGAAATTCGAAAATTTAAAAATTGGATAAATTGAAAAATAGAAACATCAATAAATGGAAAAATGACAACATCCAAAAATTAAAGAATCGAAATATGTACTGAAAAATCCTCTAGAACTTACATACTCAAAAATTGGGAAATGGAAGCGAAATTGAAGAACTGAAAATCTGAAAAATCCCAAAACTGAAATACCATATTAAAAATCTGAAAATTCGGAAAATTGAAGAATTGAAAAACTGAAAAGTCGAAAAATCGAGAAATGGGAAAATAAACAAACTGAAAAGTCGAGAAATCGAGAAATTAAAAAATTGAATAGAAATGTTAAAAATTGAAAAATTCAGTAATCGAAAAATTAAAAATAAAGAAATTGATAAAATCGAAAGTTGAAAAATCGAGAAATCGAATATCCGAAAAATCGAATTCTTTTATGTATCTAAAATTTTGTTTTTTTTTTTCAAAAATCTGGATGTCTACCATAAAAATTTAATAGGGATTCATAAATTACAAGTTCAGGACTGTTACTTTTTATCAATTCCTGAGGGGTATGAACCAATTAATTTTGAGTGTCGATGCTTCGACGTTATATCGCTGTTGGTGGAGATGAGCAGACAAATTTTGGTTCGCGTTTTACCATTTACATGATTCCTACCACATACAAAATTTGGCAAGAATCGTTCCGGCAGTGCCGAAGATTATCTAATAAAACACAGGCAGAAACGGGGGACCTATCTTTTCGTACTCTATGGGTCACGAAACGTCGCCCGATGGACTTGATTAGTGATTACAATACTTTCTTAGCTTACACTCGGGAAGTAAAAGATATTGCGATAAAAGTTTAAAATAACAATTTCAAAAGGACTGTTTTGTGCAGGTCTTCGGACGACGTTCTTTATTCACAGGTAAGAAATTCTTATTTGTAGAAACTAAATCTACCTTGACCAAGATTGTCTGGGTACCAGATGATCTAATTATAATTCATAGTCACGTTTTGTAAGAGAATGAAAACACTTCTCGGAAAAACACGGTCTCATGGACAAATAAGAGTTCGTATTAATCTTGTTTGCTAAATAAGACGATATTGATCAAGTCGAGTCGGAGCTCGACCTAAGAAATTTCTCTTATAAATAAATTGAGCTGTTAAAAAGTAGAGCGTTGGTATTTACTGCAATTCAAATTCTCTAGAGAATCTACAACCATCAGATTATTAAAAACTTTCAGTGCGCGATGTGATCTTTTACGTGCTTTAACTCAAGCTAGATG